GACTTGGGGGATGCATTTCCGGGGTTTAAGATTCTTTGGCGGAGCGGGGAGGGTGAAGGCGTTGACTTCACAACCCAGGGGAAGTGCACCCATAAATGGGCATTGGATCATTCCTCGCTCGGTTGCTTTCATTCCGCCGCCCATTCATTCTAGTAAACAGTGCCCTTACGAGGATTTTCTATATATAACTCAGAGAGAGAGAGAGAAAAGGGTGGTGTGTGTGTGTGTGTGTTGTTAGGCAGTGTTTCTCAGCCTTAACAACTTGAAAATGGATAGACTTCAACGCCCAGAATTCCCCAGCCGGCATGCTGGGAGTTGAAGAGTCCACCCACCTTCAAACTACTGCCAGGGTGGAGAAAGATTGCTTGAGTGCAGGGCTCCCCAAACTTGGCCACTTTTAAGACTTGTGGACTTCAACTCCCAGAATTCTCCAGCCAGCAGAACAGAGCTGGCTGGAGAATTATGGGAGTTGAAGTCCACAAGTCTTAAAGTGGCCAAGTTTGGAGGCCTCTGCTTTAGTGTCACAGAAATACAGATCGGCTGTCTCCAAAAGGGACAGCCAAGTCACTCTTCCCAGTGCCGTTGTAATGTGGACCGGTTACAAAACAGGTGGTTGTAAGTTGAAGACGGTAGTTTCTTAGTTGACAGAATGTAGGCGGGCGAGCACAAGAAAAGATTTCTGAAACATGATAGGAAACATAGTTAAATTAAAACCAAATGTTGCAGAATGAATTTGAGGGATGCCCTACGACCACAAGGGGTTGGATAACTTTAAAAGGGGGTTGGGGGATTACCCTCCAAGGTCCCTTCCAATTCTGTTATTCTGTCTGTCTGTCAACTCATCTTTGGCTGCCGTTTTACCAAAGCTACATACTTCCTTCAAAATTTGAAAATAGAATAGAATAGAATAGAACAGAACAGAATAGAATAAAATTCTTTATTGGCCAAGGGTGATTGGGCACACAAGGAATTTGTCTTGGTGCAAATGCTCTCAGTGTACATAAAAGAAAAGATAGATTCGTCAAGAGTCAAGAATCATAAGGTACAACACTTAATGATAGTCACAGGGTACAATAAGCAATCAAATCGTACTAGGAAACAGTTCATGTTAAATGATAAGGATACAAGTGACAAAGTTGCAGTCATACCATCACAAGTGGAAGGGGAGGGGTGATAAGGAGTGATGAGAAGGTTAATAGTGATAGTAGTGCAGACTTTGTAAATAGTTGGACAGTGTTGAGAGAATTATTTGTTTAGCAGAGTGATGGCGTTGGGGAAAAACTCCCCTTGTGTCTAGTTGTTCTGGTGTGCAATGCTCTATAGCGTTGTTTTGAGGGTAGGAGTTGAAACAGTTTATGTCCAAGATGTCAGGCCCCCCCATTATGCAATGGGGTTTATTTGAACTGGGGTTATTCTAAATCAAGCGCATTGGCTAAAAATGTGCAACATAACAGTTTAGAAGCCGAGGATTGCAAACCCTGTAACTTCCAAGTTTTCAGTCCAGGTGGACAGAGTGTCAAGGGGTGTCTTTGAAAGGCACCCAGGAATCCAGAGCCTTGTCCTAGGTGAGGATGAAATCCAGACAAAGCTTGGCCTGTCTCTAGATGAAGATCTATAGATTTCCATTGGAAAGGATTTACATCTTTGTCTGTCTTGCCTGGGGCAAGAGCAACATTGTTCTGGGCTTGGCCAAGCCTAAGGTGGGAATAGACTGAGGTGGAGGTGGAGGGTGGGCGGGCAGGGGGATGTCTTGTGAGCTAGCTAGGTAGGTTGCTTCAAGGATTTGGGGAGGGGAATAAGTACAGGAAAAGAGTGGGGGGGGGGAAGCGTTTAACCTTTCAAGTGGATACAATCAAAATTGATTACATTTTGCTTTGTTCTGAAGGTCAGTGGTTACCAACAGCTCCATATGTTCTTCCTTCCTTCCTTCCTTCCCCCTTTCTCACCTTCCTTCCTTCCTTCCTTCCTTCCTTCCTTCCTTCCTTCCTTCCTTCCTTCCTTCCTTCCTTCCTTCATTCCTTGGTAGATTAGCCTCGATTTTTTAAACGACAGCCTCGATTTAAAATTACCCAGGGAATTTTGGGGACTCCTCAATCCTCAATTTGAATATTCTGGGGGGGTTTTTGGAAATCCCCCCTGGGGTTGTCATTCTACAGTACAACAGCTTTTCTTTCCTGAACTAGGGCCCTCTAGCTATGTTCAGAAAACTCAGCCGCCAGTGGGTCACCAAATGTGTGGAGTTCAAAAAAACACAGGTTCACCAAGTGCTCCTGTTTGCCCGCCTCATTGTTAACACTATAATTTGGCTCTCCTTTATCCTGGTGCTTTTGTTCAAGTCTAGTCATGTTGGCCAACTTTTTTATAATTTTTATGGGAAGGAGGGGAACCTGGCTTTGAATTGTAGGCGTGCCTGGCGGTGGAGACGACCAAGCTGCGGTGTGATAGCAGCTTCTAGCCACGTGGAAAGATGTGAATGTGAAAAAAAAGGAGGAGGGTGAAAGTGTGAGTGAGGACTCCTGCTGCTGTTTTGGTTTGGTTTACTGTGAGGCGCATGCAATTTTGGAGTGGATTGGCTGCCCGGAGTCGGTGTGTGTGTGTTAGGCAGCCATATAAATATGTTTAATAAATAAAAACAAAATTTACTGCACCTTTCCAAAGCAGCATCTGAGAATTGGTTGTGCTTCCCATTCAAAGCACATCCTGTCCTTATTCTGAACTGTAATTAAGTCGATTATTCCTGACATGAAGAAGATGGTGTCACTTGCTTTCTGAGCCATCCAGGATGCTGGGCTGGAAGGGAACAGACGCTTCATGCAGTCTGTAATTGGGCAGAGACAGGATAGCAAACAGTCACGTAATTCAGGTTGTGTGTCTGACACACTGCCTCATGGCTGGCCCATGCCATCACATGGCAGGCAGGATGAATTAAAATATACCTGGCTGAATTGGGGCCCAGCAGAGCACACAAACACACCCTTCACTATTGCTTTATAAAATATCATTTTTCAGTAGCAGAATGTAGCTTTTTTTTTTTAACCGGATCATTCCATTTTTTAAAAATCTGTCTACTTCCAGATTTTCTATCCTGTCTTTTCCGAGAGTTCTCTTGTCTTAAAGAGATCTTCCTGTATCTCTTTATCTTAGGTGTAGATGGAGTGTATAAATATCCACATTTGGAAGATGAGTTTACTGTAAATATTCTATAGCCTTCTGTATTTTAATATAGATAGATAGATAGATAGATAGATAGATAGATAGATAGATAGATAGATAGATAGATAGATATAGATATAGATATAGATAGATAGATATAGATATAGATATAGATATAGATATAGATATAGATATAGATATAGATATAGATATAGATATAGATATAGATATAGATAGATAGATAGATAGATAGATAGATAGATAGATAGATAGATAGATAGATGAGAGAGAGAGCTATATGTATATAGCTATATGTATATAGCTGCAGTATTTATGCTTAGTGCAAACAAGGGATTCTAGGAGAATCCATGCTGGGAATCTGTAGAATTCCCACCAAGTATCTGGCTTAAGTACCCACATTAAAACTGGACACTTAAATAAGTAAATATTCACCTGGAAACACAAACTCATTCAGGTTTTTGTGGACTGCATGGTTAAGAAGCCCATTTCCCAAGCCTGTTTTAATCATGTAATTCATTGGTGGTGGTTGTTTTTTTCTTCAAAAAATGAAATATCCCATGCGATTTGCATAGTGCTTATTTCCGGACATGTTGTTCTTAAACGTTCGAGCAAACCGTCTATGGAAAAACTACCTTTGTTTTTTTTTAAAGGGGGGGGAGGATTTCTTTATTGGGCTTCGAAAGAGAAACGGAGCTGGTCGGTTTTCTTGCAACCCCGTCCAAGTGCCACGTTTGGGCTTCTCCGCAGCGCCAGGGGTTGTTTTGAAGGGCAGTTTCAAACCGGCGTCCTGCTTTAACTTGGCAAATGCAACCAAGAATTTACATTTTTTAAAATGTGTATATATATATATATATTGCAAAAAGCTTTGCCCGCGGGGTTGTTATTGGGGCGGGGGGGGGGGAGGAGGAAATGCATTTGGGAATTTGGGTGCCCCGCAATTGCAAAGCGCGAAGGGAGACCTGTTGCCTCCACCCCCAAAGCGGGCGGACTCGAGACTTCCGGGAAGGTGGGGCTGCGCGGGTTTCCCGTGTTGGGGAAGGAGATGCAGTTGCAGCAACATCAGCGGAGACATTGTGTGTGTTTGCTTTGCTTTGCAACCGAGCGGACTTGGCCGTTTGCAAGCCTCGGCTGTGAGTTGTGGTTGTGGTCCAGTTCTTTGCCCAACGGGGTTGGGGGGGGGGGGGAAGTCTTGCTGCGCTTGCACGCGATCCACGCCGCCCGGGTGCTGCGCGGATTTGCAACGGCGGCAGCGCCGATGTAAACATTCCACAATAGGGCTCCCCGGAGAAGGGGCGGGGCCTCCCACCAGCCGGGGGGCGGAGACAGTCCAAGAGCGTCGAGGGGCGGAGCCACCTCTTTCCTCGCCCGCTCTCCCTAAGTCCCACCCTTTCGCCTGACTGGCGGCGCCTCCCGCCCAAGGGGCAGCGGCGGCCGCGGAGCTCGGGCCAATGAGAGTCGCGCGGGGCGGGTCCTCCGCGTCCCATACGGACATTTTCTCGCCTTCTCTCCACCCCTTTTTCTCCACTCCCCCTCCCTCTCCCAACCCGCCTTTGGCATCCCCTTCCTGGGAGCAGGCAGCCAATCGGGGCGGAGGAAGGGAGGCTGCGCTGCGCCGGGATTGGCCGAGGCGCTAGAGCGGCAGCCTGGCCGCCCTGTCGCCGTGCGGGAGGCCTCCCCGGAGCAGGGGAGGGGCGGGATTTCTCAGGGAACAGAGAAGCGGGCAGCGCTCGGCGGCGGCCGTCCTGAGACGGTTGCTCTTTGGCCGCGGTTCCCCCTTCCCATTCCCCCCCGGAACCCCCTCACACGGGAGCCTGTGGCCTGTCCGGCTGCCGACTCGTCCGCCCAGGCCCGGCCCGGCCTTCTGCCTTTTCCTCAGCGCGGGGAGGAGAAAGACGGGAGACGCGGAGGAGGGTTCGCCGCGCCGGCTCTTGAGGCGAGGCGGCGCTCACCGGCGGCGGCAAGCAGGTGAGGGGAGGCGAGGGCGCGCGCGGGGCGGGGAAGGAGGGGGCAGCGCGCGCGGCGCGACGAGAGCCCGAGTCTGCGGGAGGAGGAGGGGGGCACGCGCGGGGAGGGAGGGAGGCAGGCAGAGAGGGCGGGGCCTGGAGGCGTGTGGCGCGCGCGCTCGAGCGTGCAGGGGAGGGCGGGGAGGGCCGCCGGCGCTCGGCCAATCGGGGACCGCGGGTGCTCCAGGGCTCCGCCCCTTCGCTCCCGAACGGCCGCGGCGAGTGAGCCGCGCCGCCCCCGCTCTGCCTACAAGCCCCGCCCCCTTTTGCCCCCTCGCCCGCCGCGGGGGGGCGGCGGGGCGGGCCGGCCGCGAGGCTCCTCCCCCTCCCGTCATGCCTTCCCCTCCGGTGGCCCGCGAGGCTCCTCCCCGGCGGCGGGGCGGGGCCGAGCCGGTCCCTGCTGCAGCAGCTGCGTCGGGCGGGCTCTCCCGGCCCATCATCCCCAGCCCGGCGCGGGTCACGGGCCGCTCCTCCTTGCGGGGGCTGGGATGCTGCTGCAACGCCTTCCCCTCCCTCCGTGGCTTTTAGGGCGGGGGCTGCGGCTCCACGGCGGGGGGGGGGGGCTGCTCTAGCCCCCTCCCCCTTAAGCTAATGGGGGGGGCAGCCAAAGTCCAGCACATCTGGAGCGCCCCAGCTGGGTAGTTTCCTTAGATCCCGGATGATAACCCCTCTCCCCCATTGCAATCCTATGGCTCGAGATTAGGGAGCTTTTATTATGTTTTAATCTGAATTGATCAAGACTAGCTTTCTGCTCACTTGGTGAAGTGACTATAGAAATTAAATACATATTAATAAGGTATATATCTAGCATAGGCTCTATATCAGAGGTCTTCCATCTGGACAGCTTTTAAGACTGGTGGACTTCAACTCCCAGAATTCTCCCTCCAGTCACGTTAGCTCAGGAATTCTGGGGGGGTTGAACCTGCCAAGTTTGAAGACCTTTGTGGTAGATGATAGATAGATGATAGGTAGGTAGGTAAATAGGTAGGTAGGTACAGAGAGAGAGAGAGAGATGATAGATTGATAGGTGATAGATCAGGGGCCTTCAAACTTGACAGCTTTAAGACTGGTGGACTTCAACTCCCAGAATTCCTCATCCAGTCATGTTAGCTCAGGAATTCTGGGAGTTGGGAAGTCCACCAGTCTTAAACTTGCCAAGTTTGAAGACCCTTGTGATAGATGATAGATAGATGATAGGTAGATGATAGGTAGGTAGGTAGGTAGGTATGGAGAGAGAGAGAGAGGATAGATTGATAGGTGATAGATCAGGGGTCTTCAAACTTGAGAGCCTTAAGGCTTGTGCACTTCAACTCCCAGAATTCTTCCTCCAGTCATGTTAGCTCAGGAATTCTGGGGGTTGAAGTCCACAAGTCTTAAAGCTGTCAGGTTTGAAGGCCCTTGTTCTATATCTATACACACACGCACACACACAGAGGTAATCCTCAAATTATGACCACAGTTGACCCAACAGTTCCACTGCTAAGCAAGACACTGGCTAAGTGGGTTTTTGCCCCATTTTACAACCTTTCTTGACACTGTTCCTATGGGAATCGCTGCAGTTGTTCAATTAGTAACACGGTGAATTTGGCTTCTCTGTTGGCTGTCAGAAGGTTGCCAAAGGCGAATCATGTGAGCCCAGGATACTGCCAAGTGTTATTCTATTATATACATAATATAATTGCTGACCCTTTATTCAAACTGTACATCAGTGATTGCATGTCCTCGGTAGATGTCATATGCTAAATAAATAAGAGAGCCACCGTGGGAGGAAGTCTGATGGGCTGTAGACTGCCCCCTTGCAACTGGGTGGGATGGGGGTCCCGGTCCCATCCCAGGGCTTCCTTTCTTCCATCACCACCTGCTAATTCCCTCCCTGGAAGGGATCTTGGAGATCCTTCAATCTAGTGTTCCTTAAAGTTGGCGACTTTAAAACAGGGGTCTTCAAACTTGACAGCTTTAAGACTTGTAGACTTCAACTCCCAGAATTCCTCCTCCAGTCAGGTTAGCTCAGGAATTCTGGGAGTAGAAGTCCACCAGTCTTAAAGCTGTCAAGTTGGAAGACCCTTGCTTGAAAACACGTAGACTTCCATCCCCAGAGTTCCCCAGCCACCCTCTTCAAAATGTGGGGACTTCAATTCCCAGAACTCTTCCGCTCAGACCTTATATATAACCCATATGGTGCTTTTTTTAAAATCAATTGTTTTTCAACCTTGGCAACGTTTAAGATTTGGGGACTTCAACTCCCACGATTCTCCCTTAGCCGGCTGGGGAATTCTGGGAGTTGAAATCCATACACCTCAAAAGTTGCCAACTTGGAAAAACACTGCAGTCCGATCCCACCCTCTTAACAGTGCAGGAATCCATTCCTACTCCTACCCCTCATAGCCATCCAACTTCTGGATCCTCTCTTGCCATCTCCCAACATTCTTCCTTCGCTCATTTCAATTTAATTTTTTTTTTTTTACTTTGGTAGCTGCATTTTTAAATGCTGCTCTTCAGCTCAGGTGTGTAATGCTGGGGAGGTTGTGGGAGGCACATCATTGACAGAGAGAGGAGAGGAGGAGGATGAATGGTCAGTTTTAGCCCGAGCACCAAATTGCTAGCATCTGTTGGCGATAAATGCAGCGTCCTTGTGTCTGCTGGAGAAATCTTCAAGGATGTGTTGGCAGTCCAGACACTCTGCCTTAGCTAGTGTATCGGGGACACCCCTGTGAGACATCAGTGGCCTTTTGCATGTTGCCTGCTTGCTGTTTCAGCCAGTTGCTCCGAGTCTCTTTCAGTCCCTTCACCTCTGCTGGGCTTTCTGTCCTCAAATGCTCCATATCTCCACACCAACAGGCAGTCCTCGGCCAGACACCAGGGTGTGCTAAAATGGGATTTACTCCTATTAAGTCTCCTCTTGAGAGCGCTTTAAATGGAATGATTCAGTGTGCAGCCTTTGTGAGAGGCTGTTTAAATATAATAGTTGTTAGCGGTATGAAATTTTGAGGGCTGGCTGGCTGCTGGTGGGCCATTTCCTCTTGTTTATTTCCTATTTTAGGAATGCAAAGCTTAATTAATCCCCTGGTCAGAAATAAGATAGCTAGCTTAGTGTGGATGAGTGAGCACCTACTATTTCTCTCGGTTTACAAGATTGTGGTTGGTTGGTTTTTTAAACTGAGCTAGTTTTTATTTATTTGAGAAATCTGAGATTCCTTCATGTTTTACTGCACATTGCTAGTTAAATGTGCAGGATCTGTTTGCAAAGTCCTTTGTAATGTTGTTAAGATTCCTTTATATTTGGTTTGCTGTCATGATGCTAACTACCGAAAACACAGTAGTATTAATAGTTCATTGGGGCTAAAGTTTCATTTTGTTTATTTTTATTTTACATTTTATTTATTTATTTTGCTGCTTGGATACCAAGCAAAATTGGCTTTAATCATCTGGCGAACTGTTGGGTTCACATAATTACATGAAGTCATGGCTTCAGATTAGATAGATAGATAGATAGATAGATAGATAGATAGATAGATAGATAGATTCATATCTTGAACTAAAAACACAAACTAGATTTTATAAACCATGGAAGCTGGGTTTGCATAACACACTAAATCCAACATAAGCAATGTTTTGGTTTAGTGCAAGAGTCCCAGAACTTGGCAACTTTAAGACTTGTGGATTTCAACTCCCAGAATTCCTCAGCCAGCTGGCTGTCGACAAGTCTTAAAGTTGCCAAGTTTGGGGACCTCTGGTTTAGTGTAAAATACTTAGATGCAAGTCTATTAATTTAGAAGCATACAAATAGGATGCTAGCCACAAGTTTATTTTTATTCAAAAGGCTGTTCAGTTTCGAACGCAAAACTCAAGGAACCACATTTAGATGTCGCTTACATTACACACTTCCCAGCAAGCCTACTTAAGATTACAGGTGAAGAGTTGTTGGACAGAAGCTTTTTAAATCTTGAAAAAAAGTTACACGCGTATGAATTTCCAATTTTTACCAGATTACATTTTACGCCTTCCAGGACATCATAAAATGTAATTCTATCAGGTATCAGATCCACTACTGCTCCCGTGAGCTTTCCAACCAGTCTGATGCATCAACAATAAAATTAGTTCATGCCTTTATTAATAATATGTATGTTAGGGATTGGTGTCATAATCCAGCTTTTTTCCAACCTGTGGCATCCCAAATGCGTTGGATCAATAGATAAATTGAACTGATGTTCAATACACATAGTGTTTCCCCTCCCCCCAAGCTTGGCAACTTTTAAGAGGTATGGACTTCAACTCCCAGAATCCCTCATGATTGCCTGGGGTCAGGCTTCACCCACGACTGTCCCTTAAAGATGTTCCAGAATTTGTGAACTTTTAAAATGTGAGGCGTGTCAGAATTGGTAGAGGCAGCCAAGTTTTCTGAATAGTCTCCCTGTCTTGATTGTTGTTTAGATTTAATCCAGTGATGAAAGCTCAAACAATGAAGTCTGAACCAAAAATACACCTTGCTTTTTTTTTTTCCTTAGCCTTTCTTTTTTTTTTTTTCTGTTCATTTCCACAATTTTCTTCCCAAGTAGTAATATTAAATTTTAATAAAAGTCCCTTCCATTTTCCTGCTGTCATAGCCCCAAAGACTGAAAGGCCTTCCATGGAAAATACTCATTGCAGGGACTGTGGATTATGCATTCCTTCTCTATTAAAGTTTGACCTGAAACTTCCTCTTGAAAATTATATTGAAAACAGAACAGGTGATCCTTTTTTAAATGTTTTTGGTCCCATGCTTTCATTTGTCGTTAATGTTCAGATCTACCAAGTGGTAGAAAGTTAGCGTATCCTTTTAAACCCCAATTTTTGGCCCACGTTTGTGTGTGTTTGGTATTCCAATAAATATGTCTTCAAGTTTGGGGGTGTGGATGCGGCAAGGACCCTCCTGGTCCCAGCATCTTCAGTTTCCCCCATGGGTGAAGGTTCCCCTTTTGATGTGAAATGCATTCTTCGTGTTTATTTTCACAGATTAATTTTCATGTACTCAGGGGCTCATCAAGCATGTTCAATTTCTGCAATAAAATGCCCGTACATTTGTATAATTCATCTTCACTGCAGGCAGAAAGACAAAAGCACAGTCTACAAAGAAGGAATGAGTACCTTAACTCCTGAAATGCTTTTTCACTTTAGGTGCTGAAGAGGGGAAATAGGTGGCCAGCCTCTGCCAACCTTAACTGGGGTGGTAAATTCATTCAACACAGATCTGCGGACTTTGGGGTTTAAGCCTGGGTGGAAATAATGTTCACTAGACCGAACTATACTTTCTGTTCTATAAATAAAAAACTGGTAATAATCAAAGGCAGATGTTGGCATCCACAGGCACCGATTTGATTTGAGGGCGAGAAGGACGAAGCAGCGGGAAAAGCCCTTCTCGTTTAGTACATTTGTATTCTGGTGGGCCAGTTTAAGGCAGGCCAGAGGGACGGCAGCAAGAAACACTTTCAAGGAGTAGTTTCAAAAGGCTCTCTTTATTTTTATTTTTGGTCATCGTTCTGAAAAGGGGGAAGAGTTTCTAATTCTTCAGTATCCGTTCCAGCCGCTCTCTCTCTCTTGCCTAATCCTGCGGGCAGTTCAATAGCAGCTGCTCCAAAGCCATGTGCAAGGTGTGCGTTTCACTGGGAACAACACGGGAGGGTATTTACTACGCTTCCCTGCTGCTGAATCTGAGTGACTCATTCATGTAACTGCGGTGCCAGCAAAGCTCCACCATAAACGCTTTGAGATGCAATTAATGCACTCTCTTCCGACACGTTTCAGAATTAATATACGCCAAGCGAAGCTCGTGCGTTACTCAGATCGCTTCCATTCAGCCTCTTGAGCCACACAGGATATTCAAGGCTACAGATCACGGTTAGGATATATTTAAAAGCACGTTCAGTTTCTGGGAGCTGAAGTCCACCGGTCTTAAAGGGGGCAAAGGAGGGGCACCCCTTGCTTAGAACATTTAAGGTTGGGAGGGGGGGTGGTTGGCTCTCGCTCCAAGTAGCCCTTGAGCCTTTCGTGCAGTGAGCGAAGTTTAAAAAAGTGATTTTTTTTTACCATTTTTCACACTTAATGGCCGTTGCAACATCACACGATCCAAACTCGGGCGCTTGACGCCTGGCTCAAGTTTAAGGCGGTTGTGGGGGGGGGGGGGTCCCGTTTTTGCGACCTCCTGACAAGCAGAGTCAACTTTGATTGCTCACTTAACGACCAACGGCGTTGCTCGTTGAACAGCTGCGGCGATCCCCCTCCAAACCACCGATCCCTTTCGGTCTCTCCGCAGGTTTCGTAGGGCTTCCCTGAGCATGAATTCAGGATGAAGCGGCGAGCGGAGGAACAGGAATCCCCCGTCTACGCGTCCCAGCAGAGGCGCATCGCCAGCAGCGCCGAGCCCTTCCCGCACCAACATCGGATGCTCGCTCCAGCGCCCCCGGTCTATGAACCAGTTTCGGAGACCATGCAATCCGCTACCGGGATCCAGTACTCGGTCACTCCCAGCTACCAGGTAAAGAGGCGCTGAAAGGGCTCCCGGCGGGAGGAGCTGCAGAGCGGCCAAAGAGGGTGGCAGGGCGTGGAGAAGACTTTGTAACTTCCTAAAAATCAGGGGTCTCCAACCTGATCAACTTTAAGCCTGGT